AGACACTACCCAAATTCATGACTTACAGTAAAGATACAGTAATCAAGACAGTGATATATTGTTGAAAGAATAGACAAGTAGATTAGTAGAACACAATAGAGATCCCAGAAACAGACATTCATCAATACAGTCAATCTTTGACAAAGGGCCAGAGACAATAAGAAAAAGTAAAGACAGTCTTTTCAACAAATGGGTCTGAAATAACTGGACCTCCATCTACAAAAAACATCTGAATCTATATACAGACCTTATATCCTTCACAAAAATTAACTCAAAATGGACTATAGACCTCAATGCAAAACACAAAAATTTAAAAGATAACATAGGATAAAACAAAAATGACCTTGCATGTGGAGATGACCTTTTGCTACAAATCAAAGGCATGACCCATGAGAGAAATAACTGATAGCCTGAATTTAATTAAAATGGAAAACTTCTACTCTGAAAAGATAATGTTAGAAGAATGAGAAAATAAGCCACAAACTGGAAGAAAATGTTTGTAAAAGACATATGATAGATGAAAGTAAACCAAAATATTGAAAGAACTCTTTAAACTCAACAATAAGAAAACAACCCAGTTTAAAAATGAGCCAAAGACCTTACAGAACACCTCACCAAAGAAGATATAGAGATGGCAAATAAGAATATGGAAAAATCCTCCATATTGTATGTCATCAGGAATATCCAGATAAAAATAAGATATGACTGCACACTTATTAGAGTGGCCAAAATCCAGAACACTAACACTAAATGCCAGTAAAGGCACGCAGCAACAGGAATTCTCATTCACTTCTGGTGGGAATGAATAATGGTACAGCCACTTTGGAAGATGGTTTGGCAATTTCTCACAAAACTAAACGTACTCTTATAAGATCCCGCAATCATGCTCTTGTCTACCTACAGGACTTCAAAACTTATGTCCATGCACATATATGCTTATAGAAGTTTTATTCATAATGGCCAAAACATTGGCTTTGGAAGCAACAAAGATATCCTTAGGTAGGGGAATGGATAGATAAACTGTGGTAAACACAGACAACAGAATATCATTCAGCACTAAAGAAAACTGAGCTATGAAGCCATGAAAAGGCATGGAGGAATCTTACATGCATCTTAATAAGTGAAGGAAGCCAATATTAAGACTACATACTGTATGATTTTAATTACATGACATTCTGAAAAAAGGCAAAGCTAAGCAAACAGTAAGAGGATTAGTAGTTGCTAAAGGGTCGGGGTAGAGGGAGGGATGAATAGGCAGAGTACAGATTTTTAGGGCAGTAAAAATACTCTGTGTGTATCCACTGCAATAATGGATATATGTCATTATACATTTGTCCAAACTCATAGATCCACAATACCAAAAGTCAACCCTAATGTAAACTATGGAGTTTGGGTGATTATAATGTGTCAATGTAATAAATATACTACTCTGGTGGGAATGTTTGTAATGGAGGAAACTGTGCAAGTGTCAGGGCAGGGGATACATAAGAAATCTCTATACCTTCTCCTTAATGTTGCTGTGAACCTGAAACTTCTCTTTTAAAAGTCTATCCTATAACTAACAGTAATATGTGTATATGTATAACATATTGCTGCTAGCTGTAGATTTTAACTATGCACATACTTACATAAACATATACTATTTTTTCACTATCAGCTCTCAATTCATCATACCAGTGAGCTATGAATTGATGCAGTGTGTGCTTTGGAGGTTCAGCCTCAGGTTACATGTCCCAGCTTCCCCACTCCCTTTTGTACAAAAGGAGGTAGCAAGTTCTCCTCATATTTGAAATAGCAGTTTAAAGATAAAATACAATTTCACTTAAATATTTATTTTTCTTATTTTTCTAGAGATCTTTTAAACATCTGGCCTTTTTGAGGGGAGGGAAATAAGAGTTCCAGCTAACAGACCAGAATTTTGTAAACAGATATTTCATTTTTAGTGAAAGCAGGCCTGGGGATCCTGGAAACCCTTATCTTAGTGGACATGAATCTGTTTACTCTTTGTTCAAATAAAGTTGGTTATAAGCTGTTCATTGCTTCTGGACACAAAAGTACTAGAACTCTGATTCCTTATACATAAGCCCCAGCAGAGGCAGGCTTTTGCAGTGAGGGGCAGGACTTTGGGTGGGGGATGTGTATGGTTATGGACATCTGGGCAGTCCACTGAGTGGGGAGCTTCTGACCACAAGGGGAGGCACTAGGTGAAGGCAGATTCTGAAGGCACTGCTATCATTCTTTGAATTGTGGTCAAGATGACATCTTGGGAGGATATGATTAAGCCAGATACATTGACAAAGTAAATAAAGTCATAACTAAAAAGATTTATTTAAAAGATTAAAAGAAAGTTTATAACCTGCTGCAGTAGACACTGCAATCTTTCTTCAAGAAAGTACTTGTTGTCCAGCTCCTGGGAGTGTGGTTAGCAGATGCCCTTCAGCTTTCAGTATCTTCATGGACTGCCTCAATGGCAGAGATCTGCCCTGTTGCAGTTCACAGTCCTTCCCGGGGCAGGCCACATGCAGTGATTAACTGACATGAGGATATCAAGGCCTGGCCATCTCAGCCCAATTAGGTGCAACTCTGAAGGGCCACTCTAGCTCCAGAGCTTCATGTGGGGTTGGCCATGGCTGTCTTTAGGACTGCACTACTTTTGACTTCCCTCACTTCTCACTCCTTTATCCTGCCCCCCCATCACAGCATTCACTTTCTGGGAAACCTAAGCTGTGACCAGAGCTAAGATAATACAGTGCTCAGTAGCCAATTTCGTTTTGGTCATTCTCCAGCCAGTGTTAGAATTCCTTTTTAACACTATTTTTGGGTGGAACCCTCTCTATTTATTATTCCATCTTTGGACCACTATAACAGAGAACACTGAAATAAGTAAGTGGGACCACATTAAAATTTAAAACTTCTGTTTGTCAACAGAGTATTAAAGAGTTAAAAAGAAAGTATTGGAATAAAACAAGATTGGGGGAAAATATAAATCTGTATCTTTCATATATTTAAAAAACCCCTGCAAATTAATAAGAAAAAGACAGACTCCGCAATAGAAACATATACAAAAGACTTGAGCAGACATTTCGTAAAAGATGAAATCAAAAAGTAAATAAATGTGAAAAGTCGCTAGACTTCACTAGTTGTCAGGAAAATGAAAATTAAAATTTCACAGTGAACTACACAGTCACCAAAACTAAAATGAAAAAACAGAAAATACTATCTTTTGTTGAATATGTCAAGCAACTGGAAAGAACATATGTTGCTAATATGGTGCAATCATTTGAGAATGCTGGGTATATATATATATATATATATATATATATATATATATATATCCAATGATCTAGCAACACCACTGCAAGGTATGTATCCAATAGGAATAATAAGCAAGACAGGAAAACAATCTAATATCTACCAACAGTAGAACAGACAAATAAATAATACAGACATATAGTGGGATACTATACAGCCGTGAAAATGAACAATCACCACACATGAAACTGCCTCATGCGGATTAATCTTACAAGCATAATATTGAACAAGAGAAGCCAGCTTTTTAAAAGGACATCTCATATCAGTTCAATAATAAAGTTCAAAAACTGACCAAACTAATTTTTAGTGTTAGAAATCAGGGTACCCCTTGGGAGGGGATAGTTTATGGAAAGAAGTATAAGAGAAACTTCTGGAATGTTAACAATATGCTGTTTCTTAATCTGGGTGCTGTTTACACAAGTGTCCTCAGTTTAGGAAAATTCAGTGAGCTGTATTTTTTATTAAGTGTGTACTATCCATAGTACTTCAATAGAAAGGATTATTTCAAAATTAACTTGTAGAATGAATATTTGTTATTTAATTACAGTGAATCTAGGTTCATTTTAGACAGTAATTGCTATTTTACAGTAGTGGCTTCACCAAGTTGTTGCCTTTTTCCATTTCTTTCACATGAATATTGATTTCATTAATAGTCAGGTATTATAGTAATGAGCATAAGCACATAAAAAGGGCAACTAGATTCCATCATTCCAAGGTGTGTGATGATTTTGAGACCACTTTGCTGAGGTATAATTGACACACAGTAAGTTACCCTGTTTTGAATATGCAATTGAAAAGTTTTGATACAAATGCATATAGCCACGCATCATTTAACAACAAGGATATATTCTGAGAAACGCATCCTTAGGCAGTTTCATCACTGTGTGAACATCACAGAGTGGACTGACACAAACCTAGGTGGTATAGCCTACTACACACGTATGCTATACAGTATTGCCGTTGCTCGTAGGCTACAAACCTGTACAGTATATTACTGCACTGACTAGTGTAAGGAAATAGTAATATAATGGTATTTGTGCAATAGAAATTTGTTTTGGCTCCACAATAACCTTATGAGACAGATGTCAAATATGTAGTTTATCATTGACCAAATGTTATTATGTGGTACATGACTGTATTTGTAAAACTGTCAGCACAATTAACATGGTGAACACACACATTACTCTCAGAAGTTTCCGTGCGCCATTTTGCAATCTTTCTATCCTGTCCTTCTACCATCATATTATACATACTCTTTGTTTAGCTTATTTTACTTTGAGCTTTACATATGTGTTATGTGTCTCAGTGGTTCATTCCTTTTTATTTCTGTAGGATTACAATGTATGTATATACTAAGATTTGTGTACCTATTTGCCTCTTGATGGACACTTGGGTTGTTTCCAATTTTTCATAATCACAAACCTGCTCTGAATATTAAAATCTTTGTATAAATATAGGCTTTCTTTTTGCTTGGGTAAATACCATGGAGCGGAATGGTTAGATCATAACGGTAGGCATATTTTCAACACTTGTTTGTCACTTGTTTGGAAGTGGCTTGCAACCACCACCTTTATCTTTAGAATAATTGGTCTATTCCATTTTGCTTTCTGAGTGGTACTTTTCTACCCTCTGATTATCTGATTACCTTTCTTAGAAAAAGAGTTGTATAAGGAGTTGTTTCTACTTACTATTTTGTAGTAAATCTGCTTCCCTGTGGAAAACTGAAGCTATCTTCTTTGTAGTGAGTTGTAAATGCAGAGGCATCTCTGGATTGGAAGTGTTTAACTTTTTTGTCTGTTTGCAGGTTCCATATTCCTTGGAAGAGTAAAGACATTTTCTCCTCTTAATAACGTTTGTTAAATTTTTATTTAAATTTTCCTTTCCTCATTCATAGCATTATACCCCTGATATCTGAATAAAACAGAAATGTATTAACAAAAGAAGACTGGGCAATATTTAAAATACCTTCTTGAAATAAGCAAGGATTAGGAAGAGAGTGACTAGCGTTGTCCCAAGTGTTCATACTTGTTTACTGACTAGAAAGGAATTGCACAAGAAGTCCTAACTCTAGAAGATATGGTATCTGTGCTGTATACCCAGACATACCTCCCACCAATGGATGATGGGAACAGCACACGTGCCGCTCCAAGGACAGAAGACAGCTCCCGTATTGGTCCACACAATCTGACATCCCTTTCTATTGGTAGGACTGACTCAAACTTATTTCAGGCAGAAAGGGTGGATGGAAAATATAATGAAGCCAATTTGGGGATATGTTTGTTGGCTAGGAAAGAACATGATCATCTAGAAGATTGTGTCCAGATCATGGTCAAAACACTGATGACCACCAGCAGAAGTTATCACTCATGGGAACAGGCCTTAAGGGAAAATTACATAGTGTGGGACTCGCAGGATATTTTTATACAAATTAAATCAAATTAAAATCAAAAACAATGATTATCTTCACATGAGAATGAGAGTAATATAAAATCGGCCTCAGAGATGCCCTTTACCTGGTACTATGAAAAAAGTATGTCTGCTTCTAACCATGAAATAACACTTTATCTGCTCTCTGGATCTCATCCTATTCCTCTTAAATCTATTTTCTTTTTTAAAAGCAGATTTGAGATATAATTGCATACTACAAAAGTCATTCATTTAATAATTACATACTATAAAATTCATTCATTTAAACCATACAATGAAATGTTTTTAGTATATTCACAGAGTTGTGCAAATGTCAGCACAATACAATTTTGGAACATTGCATATTTTAAAAAAAACAAAACATGTCCACTGGCAGTCACTCCCTATTTCTTTTTCCCCTAGCCTCTGGCAACAGCTAGTCTACCTTCTGTCTCTATAGATTTGCCTATTCCAGCTTTTCACACAAATGGAATCACATAATAGATGGTGTTTTGTGATGAGCTTCTTCCATTAAGTATAATGCTTTCAAGATTCATATTCATATTGTGTTACATCAGTACTTCGTTACTTTTTATTGATGAATATGTCATTATGTGAATATACCATATTTTGTTTATCCATTCATCAGTTGATAAACAATTGAATTATTTCCACACTTTACCAAGAATACTGCTACTTTGAGCACTTGATGAGTTTTTGTATAGAAGTTTTTTTTCTTTCTCTCAAGTATATACTTAGGAATGGAATTTCTGGGTTATATCACAGCTCTGGGAAATGCCAAACTGATTTAAAGCGTGACTGCACCGTATCTCATTCCCATCACCAATGGATAATGGTTCCAATCTCTCTATATTCTTTCTGATACTTATCATTTTCTATCTTTTCTTATTCTACCTATGCTAATGGGTATAAAGTGGGATCTCTTAGTGGATTTAATTTGCGTTTTTCCAATGACTAATGATGGTGAGCATCTTTTCATGTTTTTATTAGTCATTTGCATATCTTGTTTGTAGTAATGTCTATGCAAATTATTTACCTATTTTTAACTTACTTTTCAATACTGAGTTGTAAGAGCTCTCCGTATATGCTAGGTACGTGTCTCTTTTTACAAATTTGATTTGCAAATATTTCCTTTCATGCAGTGGCTATCTTTTCACTTTCTTGATTGTATTATTTGCTGCACAAAAGATTTTGATTATAATAAAGTACAATTTACCTGCTTTTTATTTTGTCATTTGTGTTTTTGGTGTTATATCTAAACAATCATTGCCTAAGTCAAGGCCACAAATATTTATTCCAAGACTACTTCTAAGAATTGAGAGTTCACACTCTTAAATTAGGTCTATGATTCATTTTGAGTTAAAGTTTTGTATTTTGTGAAGTAGGAATACAGCCTCATGATTTTTGCATGTGGATATCCAGTTCTCCCATGACTGTTTGTTGAAAAACTGTTCTTTCTGCATTGGCTTGCCTTGCTATCTTTGTTTAAAAGTCAGTTGAGCATAAATTATAAGGGTTTATTTGTAAACTCTAGATTCTATTCCATTGAGATAGATAGACAGACAGACAGACAGACAGACAGGTAGACAGATATCCTTACAACAGTACATGCTATCTCAATTGCTATGGCGTTGTTTTGAAATTTGGAAACTGGAATTCTTCAATTTTGTTTTTCTAGGATTGGTTTGACTATTCTAGGTTTCTTGTATTTCCACATGAATTTTGCAATCAATTGTTAATTTTTGTGAAAAGCAAAGTGGGATTTTCTTTTCTATAAGAAAGCCCATTAGAATTGCTGCATTCAGTATCTCAATTACTTTAAGGCATATTGTCATCTTAAAAATATTAAGTCTTCTGGCTGGGCACAGTGGCTCGTGCCTGTAATCCCAGCACTTTGGGAGGCCGAGGTGTGCAGATCATGAGGTCAGGAGTTTGAGATCAGCCTGCCCAACATGGTGAAACCCCGTCTCTACTAAAAATATTAAAAATTAGCCAGGTGTGGTGGCAGGTGCCTGTAATCCCAGCTCCAGAGGCTGAGGCAGGAGAATCGCTTGAACCCAGGAGGCAGAGGTTGCAGTGAGCTGTAATCGTGCCATTGCACGCCTGCCTGGGCAACAGTGAGACTCTGTCTCAAAAAAAAAAAAAGGTCTTCTAATATGCGAACACAATATATCTTTACATTTCATTGGCTCTTAATTTTTTCAGCAATATTTTTTAATTTTCAGCTCACAAGCTTTTAAGCTTTTGCCAAATTTATTTTGAATATTACAGCATTGAAAAAAATTGTATTTTTTTGAGTTAGAAAGAGCTCCCATTTTTCTATACTTTGAAAGAGATTGTGAAGGATTGGTTTTTATTATTTTTGGATGCTCAGTAGAATTCACCAGTGAAACCAACTGGTGAATTTGAAAATTTTGTGGAAAGTTTTTTAATTTAATAATTCAACTTTTTATACATAAATTCAGATTTTCTATTTCTTCTTCAGTCAGTTTTGATAGTTTGTGTCTTTCTAAAAATTTGTCCATTTGACCTAAATTACTTACTTTGCTGGCATAGAATTGCCTATAGATGCCTTGACAATCCTTTTTATTTCCGTAAGGTTAGTGGTGGTATGTCCCCTCTTATTCCTGACTTTAGTAATTTGAGTGTTCTTTTTTTTATTTTGTCAGTCTAAAAGAAATTTGTCAAATGTGTTGATCTTTTTAAATAATTTTTGTTTCATTGGTTTTTTTCTTTTGTCTAATTCTTCTCTAGTCTTTACTGTTTCCCTTTGTGCTAGCTCTGGGTTTAATTTGCTCTTCTTTTTCTAGTTTCTTAAAGTGGAAGACAAAGTTATTGAATTTTTTAAATATTTGCATTTATACCCATAACTTTCCATGTGAGTTCTCCTTAACTGTACACCATACATTTGGTATACTGTGTTTTTGTTTTTATTTATGTCAATTTTTAAATTTCTCTTGGATTTTCTTCCTTGACACATTAGTTATTTAGGGGTATGCTGTTTAGTTTCCGCATATGAGTGCACTTCCTGAATTTCCTTCTGTTATTGATTTCTAATTTGATTCCTTTGTGATCAGAGAATGTATTTGATATGATTCTAAACTTTTCAATCTATTGATAATCTGTTTTATGGCTGACTGCATGGTCTATTATAGAAAATGCTCCATATGTGCTTTTGAAGACTACGTATTCTGCTGTGTTTGAGTGCAGAGTTCTATAGAGATCTATTGGGTCTAGTTACAGTGTTATTCAAGTTGTTTATACTCCTGTTGATCTTCTGCTTTCTTGTTCAGTCCATTATTAAAAGTGGGTTATTGAAATCTCCAGTTGTTATTGCTGAATTGTCTATTTTTTCCTTCAATTCTGTCAGTTTTTGCTTTTTGTATTTGGGGGCTCTGTTTTAGATGCATACAGGTATGTAATTGTTATATCTTCATGGTGAATTAGTCTTTTATCATTGTAATGTGTCTGTATTCGTCTGTTTTCCTGCGGCTGATAAAGACATACCCAAGACTGGGAAGAAAAAGAGGTTTAATTGGACTGAGAGTTCCACATGGCTGGGGAGGCCTCAGAATCATGGCAGGAAGTAAAAGGCACTTCTTTCTTTCTTTCTTTCTTTTTTTTTGAGACGGAGTTTCGCTCCTGTTACCCAGGCTGGAGTGCAATGGCGCAATCTCGGCTCACTGCAAACTCCGCCTCCTGGGTTCAGGCAATTCTCCTGCCTCAGCCTCCCGAGTAGCTGGGACTACAGGCACGCCACCATGCCCAGCTAATTTTTTGTATTTTTAATAGGGACGGGGTTTCACCACATTGACCAGGATGGTCTCGATCTCTTGACCTCGTGATCCACCTGCCTCAGCCTCCCAAAGTGCTGGGATTACAGGTGTGAGCCACTGCGCCCGGCCCAAGGCACTTCTTACATGGTGACAGCAAGAGAAAACAAGGCAGATGAAATAGCAGAAACTCCTGATAAAACCATCAGATCTTGTAAGACTTATTTACTACCATGAGAACAGTATGGGGAAAACTGCCCCCATGATTCAAGTTATCTCCCACTGGGTCCCTCCCACCACACATGGGAATTATGTGAGTACAATTCAAGATGAGATTTGGGTGGAGACACAGTCAAGCCATATCAGTGTTTCTCCTTATTTCTAGGAACATTTTTGTTTTATTATCTATATTGTCTGATATAAATTACCAGACTAACAATCATTCACTTCATGTATCTTATAGTTGTTTTTTGGATGGTGTAACTTTTATTTGTTTTACTTTTGACCTATGTTTAATCTAAAGTGTGCTTTCTCACAGATAGAATCCAGTTGGAGCTTCTTTGTTACTTTTTAATCCAGTCTAAAAATCTGACTTTTGATTGGATTGTTGAATCC